CTGTCTTCGCAAACGTCTAGATCAGTGATTTTCAACCGGTGTGTCGCGAGAGGATCGTAGATGTGCCTCAAAAATTTTTGAAGGTTATTAAATAAATTATTTTCAAAAAAAGCCCAAAAAATATTAAATGTACGGTACATGTAAAAATTAAAACCTTTTTAAATTGATTATAAGAGTTTTTCATTGTTTTAATAAATAAACGTTTACATAATATAGTAAAAACTAGCAGAGCCCGGCCTTACTCGGGCAAAAAGTAACAACAAACATTAAGATTATTAGATTCTTCTGTACTTCTAATTCTTCTATATTATTATATTATAGTATTTGATTTATATAATTACAAATGTTAAATTACGTAAGTTTTAAAACACATTTTAAAAATTCTATTGATATAAATTGTGCACAGTAGAGGAATAAAGAATTTTGAAAATGTGTTAGGTAAGGGTTTATCATTCCAAGTAAACAATCTAAGATAATCTTTGTAGTTACATAAATCAAATACTATAATATAATAAATATTAACAAAAAAAAACCTATACGTTCATTTAAGAAAAGTTTATCAAATGAACGAAGGAAATGAACGAATTTATTTTTTTAAATTGTTATAGTGAAATTTGTGATTTATGCCTAAAAGATTTTCGTATTTGTACTAGTATATTTAAATATGTAAATGATTTGTGTGTAAAAAAATGTACTATTAAAAATTATATGGCCTTGAAACATCTGAATTATTTAAAATGAACTCAGTTGAATCGAATCCAGCACTGCAAGCTGCAACGCACATGAGGGCGGAGCGAATCTGACTCGATCACCAACGCTTTTTATTATTATTATTATTATTATTCAATAACTAATTTGTACAAAGATATGTACAACACGTGACATGTTTAGCATTTACAAAATATAATGAGATGGAGAATTTGATGCTATTTTTTCAGCATCGCTCGTTTCGACTCATCTAGGATGGCATTATTGGATCCGATGTCCCGTGAATGATTCATGTTCACGACACAAACAAATTCATCATGCAATTTACATTTGTTAAAGAGATGAATGATTTAAAAAATTACCTCGATTATGAATATACATTTTACAGAAACACAGCTTCCCTATCATCAAATGTC